CCGTTGAAAATTTTAAAGCAAAAATATACTTATATTTTTTATTTATATTAAGATTTTTTAACTTAATTTTTATAATTGATGGCGGCATATTAAAATTTGTTCATAACTTTTTTTATCTATTTTTTAATTTTTATTTTATATTTTGATATCTTTTATTATATTATTGAGAATTACATTCAAAGTCTTAAATTGATTCTTAAGATATTTCGAGCCTCGAATCGATAAATTAATCATTCTGCCCAAAAATAGTTTAAATCTTTCGTGTCTCAAATTGACAGAATTTATTCGAGATCCAAACTTAAAAACTCTATTATAATTATATTTTTTTAATTTAAAAAATGCATGTTATGAATATTATAATTTTTATTCTAGCGTCATGACATACATCATATTCACGTACATATTGAGTGATTATTTGGTATGCTTGGTCATGATTTATCACCTTTTGTTGTGATTGGTTAAAATATTCTTGGGTTACTTATTATAGGAAATATGCCCACGAAAACATTACTAATGGATTCGGAACGAAAAAGGAAAAGAATTAAGGTGCCGAAAGACCACATGACTCGTGTGGATGATGCCCAAGCAACACTGAGTTATGTGGGAGATGAATTTGAGCATCCTTAGGCTCTATAGAACCACATGATTCGAGTGGATAGGTGCAAAGTCACACGGCTCGTGTGAAGTGTCCCGACAGATAGCGAATTGCTGTTTTTGAGTCATCCTTTCCTTTTTCAATTGGAATTCGGCATACATTATACATAGGAGTTAGAAGACTCGTCCAAAATAGTTTTTGGAGGTGGCTTTAGAGGCTAGGAAGATACACAAGACGAGTAAGAAAGCATATTGCAAAATGATCGAAGCAGTTGAATAAAAATTTACTTTCTTTTTCTATTCTCTTTGGAACTCAATGTTTTACTGCTACTTTTTTGGGTTTAAAGCCACAATTCTAAACTAATTTACTTGTGATTTTAGGATTCCGATTAATTTATGAATTGATTTTTATAGCTTTTTTATTATGAATTTATTGTGCTTATATTTATTTTATGAATAGATGACCATTATGTAAGTATATTTGTGATCAACTTAACGCCGAGAGAAGATAGTTGATTAATAGAATTAGAAAAATTTTAACATAAGAAGCTAAATAGATTGAGAGGTTGATAGAATATTGCGAGTGAATTAGAATTTTAAAATTCAGGAGAGTTAATTCTTCATCTTCAGACCGGGAGGGGATGAATACAATTAATCAACGGTTTAAGTTGCTTGAGAGAGAAGTTAAGTTAATCAACGATTATCCCCACGACAGGTCGGATGAATTTCAACATTTTATGAATTAATTCAAGGAAAGTTATTCATAAATTTTCATGAGATATTATTAGTTAGATTTATTTGTAATTTAGTTTTTTACTTCATAATTAAATCATTTTTTGAATTTGCATTAGCCTATATGATATTTAGTCGTTGTTATTTTGATATATAACTAATTTAACTACAATCTATGGGATGAATTTCAACATTTTATGAATTAATTCAAGGAAAGTTATTCATAAATTTTCATGAGATATTATTAGTTAGATTTACTTGTAATTTAGTTTTTTACTTCATAATTAAATCATTTTTTGAATTTGCATTAGTCCTATATGATATTTAGTCGTTGTTATTTTGATATATAACTAATTTAACTACAATCTAGTGGAATATGGTATTGCTCTTTACTCTATACAGCTACGCCGTACACTAGTGGATAACAAAAATAAATAGCGAACAAGTTTTTCGTATATTTATCGAGAATTGTTTGCTGAATTAGCTAATATTAGAAGGGACTAGATATTAGTTCATGCAATTTTGTCTTGGACTTGTTTATTCGTTCTTATTATGTTGGTGTTTCTATAGGTAGTGCATGATCACGAGAGCGAGTGGGAGTTCACCCGCAATGTTTGATCCCGAGATTGAAACACGTTTCTGATACGCAAATTGCCTCCGAAAAGAACTGAACCGACACAACACGAAGGTCCTTCACCTTTGAGCTCCGGTAAAGTAAAACAATAACTTACCAACATGCAGGTGATACACTTAGGTGATTATTTTTTTAAGAGTAAAGTAAAACAAAATTAATGTCCAACCTGCAATATGATATTTGTTCTTTTTTCGTTTTCCTTATTTTCCTTTGTTGTAATATGTATGCTAATGCATAATTTCGACAAAATATATACCATTAAATTTATGATATAATTTTAAAAATATATCTTTTTTAATGTAAATTAATAAGCTTTTTAATAAAGTGTGTAAAAATAAATACCAACAATCTATAATTTAATCAACGACTTAACCTAATTATATACTTTAATTTAAAATAATGAAATAAATGGGAAGAAAAAATATGACTAATCACGTACTGCAGAACTTCCACAGGTAAAAAGAGTTTTAGATTTATTGTGTCTCTTTCATGCCACATCATACAAAAATCACAGTAGGAGAAATTTTTTATCACAGTCCTCTACAATTGACACACCATTGAAGATGCTCTTAGAGTGCACCTATGCTAGACATGACCACGGGTCGAATCGGCCCAAATCGGTCTGTGGTCCACGGGCCTTGAATTGAACCGTGGTCTGACCGGACCAATTTTAGGCTACATATATGTAATTTTGAACCGTTCAAAACCGAAACCAACAATTCATACCTTTTTTTAATTTATTTTTTTTTTAAAAAGTATTTTTTTAGTGAGTCGGGGCTACTCGGAACCGCCAGTTCACCGAACCGACCCAAAACCATCTAGTTCACTGAACCAACCGGTGCATATGTTCCGACATGTACATGAGACTTTTGTCTCTTTTAGGCAGAAAAGAGGACCTACACACCTCCACTTTTCACCATCGCCTATAGAAAGCACAAAAGGTGGTTCCGTAGTTGCAGAATTTTATGCTCTCCATTTCTGTTTTCACTCATTTTCATTTTGCCCTTTCAGCTCTCCATGAACCACCATTTCGTTTCTTCTAAATATTATATTCACCAAAACAATAAAGTTAAAAACTCTACACAAGATTACAAAACTCGTTCATGTGGGTCAGATTTATTTTTATACAAAATCCACCCTGTCTTACAATGATTGAACCTTCAATTTTATTTTGTTTTTTCAATTATTTATTACTTTGTTCTTGTTGACATCTCAAATATATTCTGCTCTTTATATTATACTCCCCAAAAAACATCCAAAAAACTTCAGAAGAAATCAAGATTTGTTAAGATGTGGAGCAATCTACCGTTTGATCTTCTAGAAAACATATTCACTTACCTACCGCCGGACTCTCTGGCCCGGGCCAAGGCCGCCTGCCGGAGCTGGCATGTAGCCGCCGAGTCTGTGTCCACCTCCGCCGTGACCCGCAGGCACCCGCCGTGGTTCCTGGCCTTGCCGACGCACAGCTGGAGCCTCCCTTGCTACCTCCACAACCCAATTGCCGACAGCTGGCGCTCTTTACCTCTTGATGCCACTGCAAACGCCGTTAAACCTATTGCCGCCCTCGGCGGCCTCCTACTTGCGAAATTCGCCAGCTCAACTTCGCTTCAGCTGGCCATTTTTAATCCTCTCACCAAGCAATTAAGATACCTACCGGCGTTGAATGTGCCGAGGACAAATCCCGCTGTTGGAATAGTGGAGAGCTGCTCAAACCAAACCGCCGGCTTCAAAATCTACATCGCCGGCGGTATGTCCGCGGCGAAGACCGGCGGCGGCGCGACCTACCAGCAAACCGTGGAAGTCTACGATTCCTCGACCGGAGGCTGGGAAACGATCGGAAAAATGCCGTTCGAGATCGCCGTGAGGCTAACCGTCTGGACCCCGAACGAGAGCGTCCTCTCGAACGGGACGCTGTACTGGATGACGTCAGCTCGGGCTTACAGCGTGGTGGGGCTAGACGTCTCCACCTCCACCTGTGCTTGGCAGGAGCTGAGCGTCCCCATGGCCGATGAGCTCGTATTTGCGGCCCTGGTGCCGAGGAACGGGAAGGTGGCGTTGGCCGGCGGCACGTGCGCCGGGGACGGCGGTGTGTGGGAGCTCGGGGACGACGAGGGGTGGAGTTTGATCGGGAAAGTGCCAGTCGAATTGGGAGTTCGGCTTTTGGGGGTAACTGCAAATTGGGGACGCGTGAAGTGCGTGGGTGTTGAAGGGGCTGTTTGTTTGTATAGAGATCTGGGGTCGGGGATGATTGTCTGGAGGGACGCGTTTGGGGATGGAGACTGGGAGTGGGACTGGATTGACGGCTGTTCAATCGGAGGCCGGCAAATTTGGAATATTCCGGTCAGAGGGTTCTTTATTTATCCCAACCTTAATCGTTCTCGGTTTTAGGTGTTTTTTCGTTGAATGATATTGGTTTGGTTGCCCTTTATAATTGAATAATGCTGCAAAAAGTTTATTTATTTATTTAATTTTTTTTTTCATTACAATAACAGTAACAATCAACGGAAATTTAAACTCTGACGATTACAAAAAGAGATGATAGAAAATACGGGAGACAATCCTTCCATAAGAAGGTTCGTCGCCGACAAAGCCCGATTAGCTAATTGATATGCAATAATATTATGATTTCGATCTATATCGCAGCAACACCCACCATTGAAATTTGACAAAAGCAATAAAATGTCCACAAAAACTTGATGCAAGGTGTCTTTAGGCAAAAGCTCAGACAACCTAGGGCATTCGTTTTAGCATATTGTATTGAAATACAGAACCATGAGCAAAGCGTAGTCCAAACCTGAGAGCTAGACTGTAAATAATTCTTCCGTGAACAAACTGACAAAATTTACCTAATTATTGTTGTGGATGTGCAAACACAAATTAATGATTGTACAGATTATTACATGCTCAAAACATGATTTGGTAGATTTGACTAAAGAGTAACTATGGGACGTTGAAGAAAGATCCAAATAACCAAATAAGGTTTTTCTACTGTTTAACCAGATTAATCAAAACGTCCAAAATAGTCAAAGCTTTGCCAACTAAAAGGAAAGCAGTACAGACACATGCTTGTTTCGTTATGGACTTACAGTAAGCATATTGTCGATGAGCTTGAAAAGAAAACAAAGCTTTACATATAAGTTGGTAACACAGCTGCTAGCTAAGGAGAACTTACGAAAGCTTTTAAAACGTATTGTAACTTCTTCAAGCTTGCACGTCAATGAGCATTTAAGCTCGGACTAGTGTCGGTTTACTACAAAGCTTGAGTAGTTTTAACTTAACCCGTGAGCTCTTCCATTCGGCCCTGGTCATCATGGTTGTACCAAGTTAAGATACTATTAGTGAGCAAAATGTGGATGATAGTATATATGTTTGTGCGTACGTGTGTGTAGCGTAAGGATTATTTACCTGTGTAATGTATTGCTCAGCATCTGTACGTTTGAGGAACATAATAGCATGTCGAGCCAAGTTGGCCGTGTGATCGCTAAGAACAACCTGGCCAATATCATCCAAAACTCTCACCTTAATGTAGGGATCTTTAGGAGGAACCATATCCTTCAAGGCAGAGACAGAAAAAGAGAAGAAACACTAGTTAGATAATTGGATAATGGTACCTAACTCTATATGTTTCGGATTTTCAGTAACTGATAAAACAAATTTAAATTGAAAATAACTGGATGATCGGTAGCAACTAGCAATATATAAACTTTTCAAAGTTTTGAAAGTTAGATAATTTTCTTTCAGCTCGAGGCAATTCTTGTAGGATTGCTTCAAATTTGTGTAAACAAACATCAACGAGTTCTCTAAAACATTGGCTACAGAAGGTAAAAGTAAGTCAACACATCTAAAAATGAAACTACAGAATAATGTATCTTTGGAGCATCTAACTCCGCAGATTATTTATTTATCAATACCATATTCCGGAAAACAAAGACAATTGAGAGAAATGGGCGAGGGAGGGAGAATTCAGTCTTAATGTCAAATTAAAGTCATGGTATTAGCGTGCATTTCGGAATCCACAACGTAGTGAAAAAATTGATGTTCTTGAATAAAATTGCAAGATAAATGTCTATTGTTTTTTCAGAAACCACCTAAAATGTAGTGAAATCAAATATTGACCATCGGGCTACTTGGTAAGCAACTATTTGCTAAAATCACATTTTTAACAAATGTATACATTTTGCATGTAGTGGTCTCCACAGTTATACACTGGCTACACTCTCCCAGCCCCAAATTTGACATTGAGGTGAACCACAACATCATTTAAAGCACTGAAGTATGAACAATATAATTTCCTTCAATCCAAGAGTGTTTCTAATATCTATAATAGTAAGCTACTGACATCTAAGTCAGGCAAGAGCTGTAAATATAGGCAAGAGCTGCAGAATTAATAGAGAACAAGACATAAAAAGCTCGGCACAAATCTTTATCAACGTCATCCTTCAAATTAAACACATGCCCATTGATTTCAGACTACCAAATAGTGCCCCAATGAAGGTATCCCTGAAACATCTGAATTCTTTCAACTACTTCACAAATCAAGCCATCAAGGAACTCTCGACCACAAGGGAATTATAAATGTGTGGAGTATTTGCTAAAGAGATAAATTACCAAAGTCAGATGAAGATCAATCTCTGACATATATGACTGCAAAGTTGCGGTATGGTTTTTGAAATATTCTTTTTCAGTGGTACTGAGTTTCTCTTCAATTTCTTCAGGAAGCACGCGATCAACCATCCACCCCAAACTCCTGATGACCTCTGCTCGGTTATATCTATAAATTTCCCAAGAACAATATATAAAGAAAGGGGGGGAATAGTAATAAATATAATAGTCTTTTTTTTTTTAAGAGACAAAAAGGAGGCTTTGGAAGTAATATTATTACTGACACATAAGCCATTAGACAGCGCTTATTGCGGACTAGTGAAAGGTGATGCACGAGTGCACCAAACTGATTGGATTTAAGGGCTGCTTGTATGGCATTCTTCTCGGCTTCTAAATTCCTATTCCCTACTTCGGAAGTCCCCACTTCATCATCTGCTTGTCCTTTTTCTCTCAATTCCTTCTCGTGTTCTTGTATTTTTCTATACCACATTAGTTGTCAGATATTTTTCTAAGGAAAAGATTTAAAAAAAAAAGGAAAAATATCTGAATATGAAAACCATTAAAGAAACCAACAAAGATGGAGATTGATGAACT